ACTCCAATTACACTAAGATATGGTACTTCTGGATCAAGTAGTTTTTTATCACCTTTTTGAGGTCCAAAAGGATCTTTATCTACCTTCAATGATCTTACAACCATTGGGGTATATAACGGATGTGATCTATCCATATAAAATCATTTTAAGACCTTTCTTATATAAGTTTCTTGATATAGAAAAATTTCATTATTCATATATTCCATTTGCAATCCAAGGCAAAATTTTCTTCTTCCCAAATCTTTCATTTCAAATTCTTTCTTTAAGCAATTTATAGCTTTTGAAAGCTGTTCAGGTGTTCCAATGACATTTATGTCATCAACATAAACAACAATTATAGAAAACTCTTTTCTAGATCTTTTCATGAAAATACAAGGACAAATTGAATCATTTTTATAACCTTCTTTCAACAAATATTCACTAAGTCGATTAGACCACATACGCCCTGATTGTTTCAATCCATATAAAGATTTATTCAACTTGATTGAATAATTTTCTCGAGAACTTGAATTGTATGCTTCTGGCAATTTGAATCCTTCAAGGAGTTTCATGTAAATGTTACTATCGAGTGAACCATGCAAATAAGCTATAATAACATCTATTAGATGCAAATCAAGTCCTTTACTTATTGTCAGGCTAATTAAATATTGAAAAGTAGTTGCATTCATCACTAGTGAGTATGTTTCAATAAAGTCAATTCCAGGCCTTTGTGTAAATCCTTAAGCTACAAGTCGTGCCTTATATCTTACAATTTCACCATTTTTATTTCTTTTTCACACAAAAACCCATGTATATCCTACCAGCTTAACACCTTCGAGTGTGTGGACTATAGATCCAAAAACATTTCGCTTTTCAGGTGATTTTAATTCTGCCTCAATTACGTCTTTTCATTTTGGCCAATCCTCTCTTTGTTTGCATTCTTTAATGCACTTTGGTTCATGATCCTCATTATCATTTATTACATCAAGCACTACATTATATGCAAAAATATCATCAACATGACTTCATTCTGATCCCATTGTATTCCATTCATAATATAATTGATTGAGATCTCATTATTTTCACACATTTCAGGTGCCTGAGTTTCTTCTGGAATTGAAATATTAACAGTCTCAAGTGACTTTTCATGAGTTACTAACTCTTCTTGATTATCCTTGATTTGACCATCTGTGTTTCTAGCTCTTTTTTTTTTGAGGATTTTTATCTTTGGAACTAATGGGTCTTCCACGTTTCGTGCGTGGTTTAGAATCATTTGTAATAACAGGCTGTCCAATCGAGACATTAATTCTAATTAGAGTATTAACAGCTGGAATATATGATTTAGTTACTCTCTTTGGGTTAGTAAATACATCTGGCAATTGATTTGCTAAATTTTGTAAATGAATTATCTTTTGAACTTCTAGTTCACATTGCTTTGTATGAGGATCAAGATGAGATGATGATAATTCATTCCAACTAACTTTCGTTTCCAACTACTTATTTTCTCTCCCTAATGTTGGGAAAACTGATGCATCAAAATGACAATCAGTAAATTGAGCAATAAATAAATCTCCTGTTGATAATTCTAAATATTTAATTATAGATAAAGATTCATACCCAACATATATTCCCATCATTCTTTGAGAATCCATTTTAGTACGTTGTGGTGGAGCAATTGGAACATATACTGCACATCCAAAAAATTTTAGATGGGAAATATTAGATTCCTGACTAAAAACCAATTTCAAAAGGGAGCTCTTAAGATAACTTGTTAGCCTGATACGAATTAATGATGCTGCGTGTAAAATTGCATGCCCCAAGTAGAAATTGGGAGATTCAATCGCATAAGTAATAGTTGTGCAATCAATTGTAAGCATTTAATCAGTGATTTTGCAAGTTTGTTTTGTGTATGAACATGTGCTACAGGATATTTAACATCAATTCCAAGAGACATACAATATTCACTAAAGGCTTGTGAAGTAAATTCACCAACATTATCTAAACATATTTTTTTTAGGATAATCAGAAAAGTGTGCTCTTAATCTAATAAGTTGAGCAAGCAATCTTGTAAGTACCAAGTTATTAGAAGATAATAAGCAAACATGCGACCATTTTGTTAATGCAACAATTAAAATCATAAAGTACTTGAATAGTCCGCATGATGGTTTACAATAGCATGCATTTCAATTGTATTAATAAATGTCTAATACAAGCCAAAGGAAAATGTAGGTAATTTTTCTAGTGTACACTTTTTACCAGAAATTAAATTTATAATAATAAGATATTCTTTATTTTCATTTACTATCTCAATATTGTATCCATTTTTGTATATATCATTAAAACTCAATAAATTTCTACTAGACTTAACAGAATAAAATACATCATTAATTTGTAATTTAGTTCCTCCAGGCAACAATATATTAGCTTTTCCATAGCCATCAATCATCTTTATGCTTCTAGATATAATTTGAACATTGGCTTTTTGCATTACCAAAGAAAAAAATATTTTTATTTTTGAGTATTGTATGAGTTGTTGCACTATCTATGAGACACATATCTTCATTATTGTTGTTGGTACCAATTAGATGAATACTCATTCTTCATTAAAAAAACATAAAACATAAAATTAAAACATGAAATACAAAAACTTTATTCATTAGGAAACAACATCATAAGTAAATTCTCTAAAAAAATTATAAGTAAATTCTTTATTCCAATACAAGAAAATTAAAATGACACTTAACTATAAAATTTAACAACATCAATATCTGAGAAATTCATTTTTGAACATTTCCATTCCTAATCAAGTGATCAATTCTTCCATTAGGATCAGCAAAGAAATCAGCAATATCCAAATGAGTAACATCCATGTCGCCATAATTAAAGTCACCTTCTTCAAAAGCAAAATGTGTTTCTATCTTTGTCTCTTTGTTTTTACTTTTACTTTTAAGTGATTCTTGATAAAGATCAATCAAATGTTTTGGAGTATGATAGGTACGTGACTAATGACTTTTACCACCATAATGGCAGCACAAATTTTCAATATTATTATAATTATTATTATCCCTAATTGTTCCTTTCTTATGCTTCTCTTCATTATTTATCCACTTCTGGTGAAAAGATATACTACCACAACCGTGGCCATGATCACGGTCACAATCTTGTCTATGGCTATGGCCATGACCACGATCATAGCCCCGACCTAATTCATTTGGCACTGCATTCACTCCAGGGAATGAGGTAGAATTAGTTGGACGAAATTCATAATTTTTCATCAAAACTTGTTATTTTGTTCAGCCATAAGAAGACAATAAATCAATTCAAAATTTTTTTAAATCCTTTTCATGATATTGCTGCTATAGGAGCAAGTTGGATGCATGAAATGTGAAAAATATTTTTTCTAATATATCATCATTAGTGACTTTTTCTCCACATAATTTTAGTTGAGAATTGATTCTAAAAATTGCAGAGTTATATTCACTCATAGATTTAAAATCTTGCAAACGTAAATGCATCCAATCATAACGAGCTTTTAGAAGAATAACAATTTTTTGATGGTCATACCTTTCTTTTAAACTGTTCCAAAGAACACAAGGGTCTTTTATAATTAAATACTCAATTTTTAACCTTTCATATAAATGATGACGAAGAAAGATCATGACCCTGGCCTTATTTTGATTGGATGCTTGATTACCATCCTTGATTGTGTCTCCAAGACCATTGGCATCTAAATGGATTTTCGCATCTAGTATCCAAGATAGATAATTTTTCCTAGTAACGTCAAGAGCTACAAACTCAAGTTTTAAAAAATTCAACATATAAATATTATAATAAAAATGTAATAAGAATTAGATGATATTCAAAATTAAACAAGATTAAAAAGATCAAATGGTTAGAAAATAGATCAAATCATATATGAACATAAAAATTACCTTGCAATGAAAAACCTTGCTACAAAACCTGTAGATTACTAGAGCTCTCGTGTTGATAATGTGTTATAAAATTAAAAACTAGAAAATAAAGATATTGAGAGAAGAAATAGAGACAAGAGAATGGGAGAATTTCTTATGGATTATTATATTCTTCAAGACAAATTATATGCTCTATTTATCGACATGGTCTTACATATCAAAGGTTACACAAATGATAAAAGCAAATAAAGGGTAATCAACTCTCATGATGGTGGAAGTTTCATGGGAGAAAATGAATAGGTGATGAAGATAGACATCCATTATCCTTATAATATTCATAACATAATATACATTTTTATAAATAATTATTATTAAAAGGATGAGGAAATTAATATTTTTGAAAAAAAAATGAGTTGGCACTTGGCATAAGTTCTCAAATAACAAAAATTAAGGCTGTACAGAGTCTTCCAGTTCGATCTAATCCAGTCCAACCCAAAACAAACTTGATCATGTTTGATTTAGATTAAAAATTGATCTTTTAAGACTAAAAAAATCAAACTCATTCTTTGAATTGGATTAAATAAGAAACCGAACATCTGAACCACTTATCCGGCCTAATTCTATAAATGTATTTAATATAATTATAATTAATTTATTAATAATTACTACAACAAGTTAATTTATAATAATAATTAATAATTTTGTGTTTTATACTTATAAAATGATGAAGATTGAGCAAAATTACAATATTAACCAACCTTAGTATTCTCTCTTTTTGTTAAAATTTATTGTTAACTTAGTGTAGTAGACTTTAAATACATTAAAAGTTGTTTAATGTTGTTAAAAGTTGTTTAATTTAAATTATTTATATTGTAATTAAAATACTTTTTGTTATTATTAAAAATTATTATAAATTTATAATTATTGTCATAATAAATTTTTTATAATTATAAATAATTTTAATCTATTGTATTAAAATAAATTATTATCTTTCATGAAAAAAAAAATGAAATGCTGAATAAGATCGACATCAATTTTTTAATTCTACTCGATCAGTACGGTCTTGTTCGATTTCAGATTATATTAAAATCAGATCAGACCGACGCTAAGTTTTTCGTGCAGCCCTAACAAAAACTGTAACAAGCTGAACCAAGAGTTAAGACCTTGCGATTGGCTGAATGCTCATTTAGCTTTGTGGCTAACCTTTGAATCTGCCTTTAAGCCCACGCCTCTGTGATCTACCAATTGATGCCTGTGTCTCACCTTCACACAGCTCTCGGCAAGCCACGGCTCTATTTGACATCAAAATTGCCAGAAATTCACTCCATTTCATTCATCACAAACAATCCTATCGTCTTCCCCCAGGGTTCCCTGCTTCATCATTAGATTTGATCAATCCACTCAAACCTTGTCCAAGTTCGTTTCACATTGTTCCCTCAATTCGAAATCTTTCGCTTCCTCGACCATGTCTTTTGACGAGGAGGAGGCATTCGAGCACACCCTCCTCGTAGTCCGCGAGGTCTCTGTGTACAAGATTCCGGCCCGAACTACATCCGGTGGGTACAAGTGCGGCGAATGGCTCCAATCCGATAAAATATGGTCCGGTCGGCTCAGGGTCGTATCGTGCAAGGATCGGTGCGAGATCCGACTGGAGGATCCAAACACCGGGGAGCTATTCGCCGCTTGCTTCGTCTACCCTGGCCAGCGCGAGAACTCGGTCGAGTCCACCCTCGATTCGTCCAGGTACTTCGTCCTGAAGATCGAGGACGGCCAGGGTAAGCACGCGTTCATTGGTTTAGGGTTTGCGGAACGAAATGAAGCTTTCGACTTCAATGTGGCATTGTCGGATCACGACAAGTATGTGAGAAGAGAGTATGAGAAAGAATCCGGCGAGGCGTCTGAGGAATCTCATATTGATATTCATCCGGCCGTCAATCACAGATTGAAGGTATATGTATACTACAAGAACGTCTCACTGTTACTTTGTTTTTTGCGCATTTTATAATCATAAAAAATAGGATGTTCCTTATCGAAGAAAAAAAGGACGTGCTTTGATTATCCTACCGAATTTTAGTAATTAAAGCGTGATACAGTTGTGTTTGTCAGTTTTTTGGATACTAATAAGTGGTTAGTTGATATCAATTTAGCCATCCATTCCACTTGGATCGTGTGATTTCTTAGCTGCTCTGTTATTTGTTGCTCAGACGAATATGTGTACGCATTGTATGGGCCATGGCTATTGAGACTTGTATATATTCAGATGATCATGAGAACGAATCTCCTTTCAACGCTCCCCCTCCCAGTCCCATCTAAACATGCTTGAAAAATGGGAAACTGTATTCTTTTTTACTCTGGTGTGTTCTGAGAATCGATGCCATTTGGTCTCTCCAAATGGGATTAAGTCCTACGACTTATCCGTTTCCTCTTTTTTTTTTTTTTTTCCCTCTCTCTCACATTGATACCTGTAGGAAGGCGAAACCATCCGGATTAATGTGAAACCTAAACCATCTACTGGAACTGGCATGCTTTCGGCAGCTGGTTTAATAGGTGGGCATTCTGGAACTGCGAAGCCCAAAGCATTGAGCCTTGCTCCCCCTCCATCTGGGGCAGGAAAAATCAGGTCTCCCCTTCCTCCCCCTCCAAATGATCCTGTTGCTGCCCGGAAGATATCTACCAGTCACAGTACTGATATTAAAGGATCGAATGAAAGTGTGAAAAATTCTACTGATTCTATCTCAGATCTTTCTCAACTAAAGGTACGATGCTTTTCTCATCCTTTTGTTGTTTCCTTCTTCGTGGAATTTTTGTGGATATGTTGGTATGTGTATGGCAAATTAAAGCCTAATCTTTAGTTTATTTGACACAGATAGCAACGTCATTTCACTTGAATCATTGAAAATGAGTTTAATTTAGAAGATTGCTGGATCCATGCTTCTAGTTCCTGTAGCTAAATTAATTTAACATAACTTTACCTTGGCTATTTTCCATATAACGGACCCCACGTAGGATTATAATCGTTATTGCTGTTGTTTGGCTTGACTGTTTTGTTATTTTTACTCTCTACTAATATAAGGGCGTCTTACTGCAAAGACTTACAATAAGAACAGTGACACTGGCGGTTGATTACTTGAAAAAAATGCAAGAAATTTTGACACCTTATTTTACTAAACTATAGTTTTATATCCTAATTATCAATATAGATTCCAATGTGACTGAAACATACTGATTGGAGAATGAACAGGTACCTTGATATAATATATATTATATCCATTGCCTAGTCACTTGTTTTTTTTTTTGGGGGGGGGGGGGGAGTTTGAAGTTTCGTGTTGATTGTGGTGCGATGTGATAGAAATCCATAAAGTTTTTTTTCCCCGCCGTGAACAACGATTGCTGCATTTTTTGGGGATTCCACAGTTCATAACATGTTTGAGTAAATCTGAGCCGTGATACGTTTTCCTTTTGGGTAAATCCATTAATTTCCTCATGATTTTTTTTTTTGTTAATTGACACGTACAGAGGAACCTTCCGTCAACAGCTGCGTCAGGATCGACCACCGCATCAGGGTGGGCAGCCTTCTGATTTTATGAACTAAGAACAACTCTACCATACGAGGCTTATAAAATCGCTGAATATATACGTTTTTTGATTATTTCTTGACAAAAGAGGCTGAAGCAGGTGGTGCCGGAAGTAAACGAGTCTGCACATGATACAATTAGCTCGATATATTCAGGAATATCCTCCTGCAAAATGTTGATGACTTCTTTAATTTCGTTGGGTTGTACTAGTAAATCCAGTATCTATGTAAAAGAATGACTATTTTCCCCAAAGCTGACTCTTACTTTACTGGCATGTATTCCAGATTCTGTTTCAATAAGAGTGTGTGCCCTGCAGTGCTGCTGATCTCTGATCAACCAATCATTAATAACCTCTCCTTTCAGGGGGAAAAAAAAAACTAACTTGCAACTTGCTTTTAATCACGGATGATGCAAGCCAACTCTAAAATCAACCACAAATTTTCTTCTCTGTGCCCCCCCCCCCCCCAAAAAAAGCCTTTTCATTAGGCTAGTTAATCTCAAATTGTTTTACTTCCTGTCGAGTAAAATGTTAGTTGAAATAAAGAGACATAAAACTGCAACCAAAAAAGGGGGTAATTCATCTGGTCAGGACCTGCTTCTGCTCCTCGGTGACATCCTCATGCTGGGGTAAGTTCTTCAACTAGATAAAGAGCATCGCCATCACTCTTCGATATCGGTAAAAGATCGTTAGCACTTGGCACCATTACAAAATCACCCTCTACAGAACAGCAAGAACTTTGCCACCGCTTCAGTTATTCAGTTTTTGATTTAAAAAAAAAAAAAACAGCAAAAACAGTCTTACCTCCCCATTTTTGTCCCTTCAGGATTCACAAACTCGTGCTACACTACAGCCTACAAATGCAATATAGGACTACCTTGGATAAAATATATACATCTAAGGGGTACTTTCTTTCCAGCAGTATCCTGCAAAAATGTAGTGAACATTTTTTCTAGCCACAACATAGCGATCATATTTGAAAAGAAGACTCTACAACTCTCGTTAGTTTCACTGATGGCTTCATCTAAGTTCAATCTGCCCAACCTAAATTTAGATAAGAGCAGATTAACCTCATGTCTAACCACATATCAGTTGTGAAATAGCATGGAAAAAAAAATCTACAATCCCCAATCCCCATAACTCAAACTAGTCAAAAAATATCGCCCTTGACAACTCGAAGAAACAGGCTTCAGAGACAGAGGACAGGCTATCCCATCAACACAATTTACCAGTCGGGTGTGACTTGCTCATTATTCTTGATAGTCTGGCTTCAGAATCCAATGTGATCCATTCGGTCCTTTTTCCAGAGTTGCTATTTCCTTTAACAGATTCTTGAACAGGGCAAGATCTGTCGAGGGTATCCTGTTCTTAAAATGCTGAACTATGCTGGATGAATCAGAACGACCACCTCTCTGTTGTAGAAATGTACAGATTTGCCGAATCAATACCTCAGGTTGCACTCCATCTACCTTTTTAGATGCCCTAGAGGATCCAACATCCACAGATCTTGCTTGATTAGATGGGTTGATGGCCATACCAAACTGGCGTTCTAGCCCAGCACCAATGGCTTTTTCTTGGTTACCCCGGATTTGAGCCAAAAGTCAGCAGAAGATAAGGCCTTGCCAGATGATACCCCAGCAGCAGATCCATTTAGTTTTCTAATTCCATCACCAGGCAATTCATCAGATACCTTGCAATTATTTACCAACTGGGAATTCACGGTCGAACCAAACTTCCGATGAAAAGATGATGGTGCACCAGCAGCTCCTGACCTTCCAGTCCACGTAGGAACAGCAATGCTGTCACGACTTCGGAGCTTTCGTGACTGACGTAAAGCTTCTGCAGCTCTCTGTGCAACCAGGGAAGCTTGCTCCTCAAGTCTCATCTTCTCCTCATCATTGGCATTCATGATCAAATCATGGTTCACAGCACTCTACGGTAACAAAACAAATTAGATCAGAGAGGCCAAATACCATTTGCAAAAAAGACATACAAGGTAAAATCAAATTTCTAAGGTGCATGTAAAATGATGTCGCATAATAACTATTCTTTTAAAATGGATCAGAGTCCAAATGAATATATGAACTCTAAATGAGAATGGTTAGAGAGATTGAATTTAATATCATGCAACATATGCTCACTTGTTCCATTACTCAATCCATTCTCAACTCACCCAACAGCATGCAAATTTCCAATAATGAAATAAATAAAATCAAAGGCACCAGACAAATAGGATATAAAATGCAGCATAACGAAGAAGCTTACATGTAACCCATAGGCATCAAAAAGACTTTTCAATATATTTGTTTCCTCATCTGCTTCATCAAGATGATCTGTTTTCTCTTTTCCCTTTCCCTTGACCGATCTTGTTTTTGACCTGACATCGCTATTAACTACAACATCATCAGAACCTGGTTCAGCAGTTTGGGGATGTTTACGATTATCCTGCTTATCTTCATATGCCCCAACAATATTTACATCTTCAGACATTTGACTGAAAATAGTTGACGTTTCAGTTGACCCACTTTTATCATCCACATTCAGTGTAAAAAGATCTTTCATATCCCGAGCTTTAAAGAATCTTTTCTGCTGTGGATTCTTCAATATCTTATTGGTAAGAAAATGTTTGTAAATCTGGCGGTGATACACTTTCTCCTCTATAGTTCCACGTGTGATCAACCTATATACTGTCACATCCCGTGTCTGACCAATTCGCCAAGCTCGTTCTCTGGCCTAATAAAAGCAATAATTATCATAAATAAAAAAATATAAGCTTTAAAATTGAAGCAAAGCATAGCTCTCTGCCAGAATGAATTAGAAATTTCTTTAAAAACAATGATACACAGTACTCTAGAGAATATATACATTTTAATTCTAACATCATTAATTTGGGGAACTATTCTGAATGATACAAGATGCATCAAACTCCAGAGGTTTTTACAGGATATTGTATAACCAAATGAATAGTGGGATAAGGCTTGTTATTGTTGTATAATTAAATGAACACCACAATGCTGCAAATGGAAGTTTCACAGTTGTGTTTAAAATATTTAAAGCCCCAGCAGGATGCATCAAAAACAAAATTACCTGAACGTCAGTTGAAGGATTCCAATCAGGGTCAAAAATAATCACCCTGTCTGCACCAGTAAGATTCGTCCCCAACCCCCAACCTTAGTTGTTAAATGAATATAAATACTTCCCTTGACTCATTAAATTCATCAATTAAAGCCATCCTTTGTTTTATGGGAGTGACTCCATCCATTCTCCGGTAATTATGACCAGAAGTGGTCAAAAAATTCTCAAGAATGTCAAGCATTTTGGGTTTGAGTAAAAAGAAGAACCCGATGACCTTGTTCCTTCCAAACATTAAGCACCTGTGCCACAACTTTCATTTTTCCACTGCGTTCTGGATTTCCATAGTCTGGATTGCTGTATGCATGTTCCCTTTCAAGCAAGTCAGGGTGGTTGCAAATCTTGCGCATAACATCAATTCCATAAAGAGAATTCTTCCGTCCATCCAAGATTTGCTCCACTCAGAGCTTGCCAAAAATGCTCTATAAGCAGATACTTGCTCAGTAGTAAGGCTACAAAATAAAACATGCTCAGTTTTCTTTGGAAGCTGGGCATCCACATCTTCTTTCATCCGTCGAAGAAGATAAGGTGTGATCAAATCACGAAGCACCACAGCACACCTGCAAATGTGAAAAATTAACCTAATTATGGTGTTGCAGGCTAATGAGCTAGAAAACTTACAACAGTTACCTCCCTAATCAAAATATACCAACAATCTAACTGAAAATCCTTCTTTATTTCATTTCTCTACTTTCACACCGTAACTAGAATGGATGAAATATCCTGTTCCTTATTGTTAATACAATATATAACCAGATAATTTAACAGAGGCCAATTCTATATGTGACAAGAAGATTAATAAAAAGAAAGTTCAGAACCACCTGTATGCTGTTGATACTTGTAATGGTGAAGCATTTGCATATCCACCAACCGCTATAGGAACAGCAAACTCAGCTTCAAATACAGGCAAAACACCCAACTTTCCAGGGAAAACAAAATCAAACAATGACCACAGTTCAGTCAGTTTGTTCTGTATAGGTGAGCCAGTCATTATGATGCGGTGTACAGTCTGTAGCTGTTTGCAAACTAGGGTAACTTCAGCATTGGATTCCTTATTCTGTGTCCTTCATCAAGAATTGCATATCCCCATTCAATGTCAAGTAACAGGTCCCTCAAGATTCTCAGCTGCTCATATGTTGTGATAAGCAATCCAGATTCTGATCTCATTACACGACTTATCAGGGATTCCCATTTCCTTGTGTTTTTTGATTGAATACTGGTCTCATAGTCACTGTCACTTGAGCTATTACTATCATAGTCTGATTTCATCACATTGGGGATTGCTTCTTTCCAGCAACAGGGTCTCGTGCAGAATCATGTAAAAGCTCTGCATGAATTTTGGGTACCATTTTTGAACTTCCCTTTTTCCACTGTCGCAAGAGGGTCAAAGGGACAAATGTAATGCTGGTTTGTACATGCCACTAAAATGCAAATGCACCGAGGAAAGATAAAACCTGGATGGTTTTTACAAAGACCCATCTCATCACCAATAATTCCACCAGCTCTTGCAATGCAATTCCCACAGCCACTGAAACACAACCTTTTGATAGTCAAACACAGTGCATCAAAAATATTCTCAGGGATTTTTAGCCCGCCTTCTAATGTTATAAAAGGAAGGTTCATGAACAGCACGTTCAAAATCCTGAGAATCCAGTTTTCGCAACTGGAAGGATCCATGCAACCACTTGCTTCCTCTGGAAAGCATGCACCAACAAAAGTATGGACAAAAAAAAAAACTACATATTAATGGCACAAACAAAGAAGTTATGGTTCATAAACCAGTTGCCAACCTTCCTCCCCATCCACAGAGAACCAGTAAAACAGCTTACAATCATCAGCGAATAAACTACCAATTATTTATGGTCTCCTCAACAAGCCAATATAGATCTGGGTCACTTTAAAGTATAGGCCAATGAATATTGTATACAAGATACCTCTTAGAAATTAAAAAAAAAAAAATTGTAACACTTCAAAGTGCATAAA